GACGGAATCTTGCTGATGGGCTCCCAGACTCTTACGGTCGATCGCGCTTCTTTTCTACGGTCGTCCATTCTTTTTCTCCCCCTCTCTCTTCAGCCCCCCCCTCTTTCTCTCTCTCTCTTTCTCTCTCAGATTCGGGCTCAACAGTCATTCTGACTGTTTCATTCTCGATACACATGAAAGGCGACTCGCCAAATAAGTAACAGTTGTACTGGAGATAAAAGCAATGCAATTACGAGGCCGCCGAGGGAATTACTCAGGGAATGTCTTTAATTAAATGTTGGGAGCAGTTTCCGAGCCTTCGTTAATGCAGAGACAATTTCCTTCCATCCACTTTCCGTGCGCGTGCTGCCCTCCGGATGAGAAAGGCAACATCCGACCGGAGATGGAGGAGCGTTACGTCCGCGTTACGTCCAGATCTGCAGATTTCTCGACTTAACGAAGTTTTAAAGTTTTACAGTTCGCGTGCCTAATAACTCGCGTCAATCGTCCACTCGAAAGCTTCGGGAGGTATCGAATTCCATCCCGTTTAATTTTCATCTTTATCGAGAAACGTGCATATCTTTTGCGAATCGCTAGTAGGCATTCAATTCTGTACTCGCTGAAGTTTGAAACAACTTCAATTGGCCATTGTATCTTATCACTTCCGGCGAAACTACTCTATATGGTGAATCCTTGTCTATTTGGAATCCAATTTAACACGTGGAATGTCGCACGGATTCCGATTAATTTCGCGAAGTTTAAAGATTGCACACTTCGAGATATTTCGTTTTGTTGTACTTAACATGTTAATTAGTACATCTCAATCTATCAGATCTAGAAGTTGTCACAAAAATTTCTTTTTTTCGTCAAGTTTATTGTTCATTGAAATATCACACTTGTGATGCTTCAAATTGTTTCAAACTTTTCATCACGGCGAGGTAGATCGTCGCGCATTTTTTACTTTACCGCGAGAAGATGGCAACAATCGGCGGTATGCCAAAGTTACGCAAATAGGACCAAAGGGACGTCGTTCTGGCGCGGCGCGACGAAACACTTCACGCGGTTTTTGTCTTTTATTACAAGGCATTTCCAGGAGAGATATATGTATGCGAGGGGAAGATCTCTCGGTGCGCGAGAAGCGTGGCGTTGGAGGGTTCGCGAGGCGTGACAAGAAATGTCACACGCTTCGAAAGGCATAACTACGTGAGGCCCGGTCGCATACCGCCACGTTGACACACGCGCACACGTGTACGTTGTACACGCACGCGCGCACACCCCCCTCCCCTCACACATACACGTCCATACATATAAGGCACAAGAGAAAAGGAGAAAGAACGAGCGTCGGAAACTCGCAATGTGCGCGAAAATATTGAGAGCCCCCGGAGAAATATTGCCCGTTGCGTGATGCACGAACGCGCCTCTGATTCGAGACGTGTAAACAGCCTGTGGATCGATGCGATCAAACAAAAAAGCACACAAAAAGTTCGGAACTCGAGGTGTAATACTCCTACGCAAGTGATACAGGATTGCGTGTGTATTCAGGACGTGGTAGATTACTATCTGCGAATAGAAAGCTCCAATCTTTTACGTGAGAGAGTAAAAGCCGCGTTACTTCGATATTTCACATGTTGACAAAGTCGTTTGTAATGTAATTAGTTCGATGGAAATTTTTACAATATTTCTATAATATTTTATCAAGAGTTATCCCGACAAACTCGATCCCGCGAAATAGATTTACGCGTTTCTGCAGGCGGTGAAGTTATTTTTCTGTTAAAACGCTTATTTTTTAAAAAAGTAAATAAATAAATTTAAAGCCACAGGGACAGACGAAACGGCGAAATCCGCGAATGCATCGAGCTGCTGGAGAAATATTGCTCGCCAAAAAAGATACGAGAACGTCGCCGCGAGAAACGTAAACTACATTACACGGACCGTGAAATCGGGGAAAAAATGTTTGTATCCGCGGTCGACATATATAAACATCTCATTGTCAGCATTGTTAGAAATTAAAAACTCCTCGTGTGTAATATTCCCGCACGACGAATTGTAAAATCGGCTGAAATATTGAGTGCTTGAAAAAATATTACCTACCGCGTGACGCGTAAATGCGTCGATCCGAGAGGCATAAATCGCATTATCCCGCTCATGAAAACGAAATAAAATATATATGCACGTGTGCTGTTAGTAGAGAAGTTTTATGGTAATGTTTTTGTCAGCGAAAGTGCTGTAATATTAATCTCGCGGCTATGTACAGCACATCTATTAAAAATATCGCGTTTTTAATGGGAAGCGTGCAATCTACCACATTTTTAAATCGTAGATTTATATAACAATAATATATCAATCGTAAATTATGTTTATAATGCTAATACAATATCGTTCTGGCAATAAACATACATTACAAAATATGCGTAATAAAAATGTAGAAATATATTTTCGAAATGATATAAGAGGATAATGCTGCAAAATCTTGCTGAATATTTGTAAATTCTCTAATTTATATCAACGTTTTATTTATATTTATCGAGCTTAAAAGCTGTTTGTCATTGTGTCTTGGGCGATTTATAGTAATAAAAAAAAAAAAAATTGGAAAACGAATTAGTTTTAACGCATTTATATAAAAGAAATTGTCAATGTTGCGTCAATATCTACGTCATGTGGGTTTCATAAGGTGTTACAATTTCACGCTTCCGCTACGAGCCGGTACGTCGTCTGCAGGCCGACAGCGCGTCGTCGCGTATTACAGTATCAGATTGCAAATCAATATCTCATTTCGTAGGTATGAGCCGAGATGTTGCGTTCGTAATGCAGTTTCGTGACCGAGAGTGTCGACGTGTTCGAGTGGCTGAAAGCAGAGGGCACACACGCGAGATGACATACGTGTGCGATCGTACATACACCCGACATTTTTCTGCGCGCACATACGTGCCTATATAGATCGGCGGATTTGATAGGAGAGGGGAAAATTGGAAGGGGTTGATCTCGCGCCAGGTTAGAGGAAACTGGAACAAACATAGTTAAGTTGAATTACTCTTGGGGCTCCATAACTTCGCGACGGCGATTGTTTTCCGCGAAAGATTTGTCAATCGACTCGAAAAGAACGCAGGAACTTTTTTATCGTCGTGCGTTTGTTATCGCCTCACGTCATCTTTAATGGCGAAATAAAAGTATATATATCTTGTAAATATCATCGGATGTAAGTATCAAGCTGATTAAATTGAAATGCGCTTCCTATTCGACGGCATCGACGAAGGAGAAAAATGCAGTTTTTAATTTCACATCAAATCTCACATCACACTCACATGATTCAGCGTTATTTGATGAAGGCTTCCATTTCCCCCCGCTTCTTCGTCCGCGTCGCGCAGAATTTAATTTCGTTTCGAGATCTGCATAATTCGCCGTAATAATTAAGCCGCCCGCGTAGAACGCAACCACGTGCCTTTCGTATCTCTTCTGGGTCGAATAGTTCAGGGTCGAAGGTCGGCGTTTCGGCGAAAGCGTTAACCCCAACACTCGCCGTCGCTTTCGTCCTCTCACTTCCCGTCCCTTCGGTCACGACTGTGCTGCGAAATCTCGTAACATCGACGTCGAGATTTGCATAATTCGTCGCGATAATTAAGCAATCTGCATATTACAGCCCGCTCGTGCGCGCGCGCGCGCACGCCTCTTTCGTGGGCAAATAGTCGCGGTCCTGAAGTCGACTCCTGCTCCGTCTTCTATCCTGTATTCGGCTATTAGATTAGGGGGTTATAACGAGTAATATTCACGTAACCAGTCCGCACTACCACCCACGCGATTTCACCCCACGCACGTACACGCGTTTAATGCACGACGCGAACCGCGAATTCCCTGTCAAATATCAAAAGCGACGCGAGCTTTCTGTTGCATGAAAGCATATGAAATATGATAAATCCTCTTACTGTTTTGTAGTAGCTCTGAGATAACATAAAAAGTGATAAGATGATATGGTCTCGTATTTCGTCCTTGTGTCAGACTCTCAGGGATATTCGTAGAAAAGTAGATAGTACTAAATATAGATTTTTTTTCAGAATCGATAAATCTCTTATCAATAATATATTCTCTTTTATTTGTTCAAATTTTTTTAATATCAAACAATTAATTAATGCTAGCTTTTTGATATTCGAATCATCTCTCTTTTTCAAATAGAAGTTTTATTTGAAAAAATTATTAATTTAAAATATTGTATGATTGCGAACGATGTAAAAGCGACTTTCAATATAAATTTTCGCTTTGATCTTAACATCTTGTACATCGATCTTGTACATCGTTTGATAATCGTCTAAGATACAAATTCCCTTAGGCGTGTCAATGCATGTCAGTGCGAGCGGCGGTCGATAGGCAATAACGCCGACAAGGACGATCGGGGGTCCGGCAAGCGGCTTTCCAAAGTTTCGCCAATCAGCAGGTGGAATCCCGGACGGAACTCACTGACAATTCAATTACAACTGGGAATTCCTGGTCCGACCCTAAGCCGAGAAAGTTCGGCGGTTTGACGGAGACCGAGGGGCGCTCTTCTCTCCGGAGGGCTGCGGAGAGAAGGAGGCGGCGGCGCTTCTCCAAGTGTTATGCAGATTTCTGTTTGGCCAGTCATTACTGGGGTGTTTGCAGGCACGACAGCCATTGCTACGGCTACCCAGTCCGATCTCCAACCACCAGCTTCCAGTTACCCCCTTCGAGCCCCTTTCATCCCTCTGCCTCTGTTAACGGAAGACGGTCATCTAGTGCCCGGCCATGGCGCACATCCCTATCTTCGATATTCATATCAGCCCCCTTTCGTCCAGTATAGCGCTTCTCTATGAATATTTACCCTCTTTTCTGTTAATATCGCGTACGTGACATTTTCCGAGCGTAAATATCCCCCGGCGTCCGTGAACACGATGACTGGCGGTCATCGGCTGAAGAGGCGGATCGAAAGATAAAAAAATAAACGCACGCGCCGGTCGAAGAGCGAAAGGGTCAACCAATGCTCGTTGTTGTAATTTTACACGACAGATACTCACCGGCATAGTTTGGCTGCCGTGTAGAGAATTTATTGCTGCCAGTGCTTCTTGATGCGACGAAAGTTTCACGAAGGCACAGCCTGAAATGAAAAAAAAAGAGCGTCGTTAATTCAACACAAAAAAAAATCACACTTACATATTACAACTTTAAACATTATAAAAATTACCCTTTCTTTATTCTCGTAAAAAAAATTTAAAAGTGTATTATATGTCACGAGATTATTCCGCATATTTATTTTTTTCCATAAAATAAATGTTACAAATGTTGTAAAAAAGTACATACTCTACTACTGCACAAACGCGTGTCTGTCTAAAACCATGTGATTTTTCGTCGAGATAAAAAACGCTGTAGCGAAACGAAGGGTTAAATAGAACTCGTGACGTTCGCTATTCATTTGCTGAAAGAAGCGTCGCGAATAGCGGCGCTCGCTCTCCCTTTTTCCGCCACGAAAATTCCGCGGCGTACTCGGAACCCGGAAGGAGGCAAAAATAGTTTTATCCGTTTTATCCTCCTTCTTTGCGAGTGATCCGCGACGAAGGGGAGGTTCCGTTTCCGCCATTGTCGCAGAGCGAGGCCGTCCGCGGCGAGATGATGGAACGATTAATCGCTCTCCTGCCGCCTGCCACGTGCGCTCATCGCCGGTAGTTAGATGGAGACGCGGTGAAGACAAAGAGCCGGGGAGCTCTTTGAAAAATTGATGCGCCAGCGGAGCGCAACGTGCACTTTAATAAAAGATGTTTACCGCGCGCGGACAACGCGTCTCGTAATCCGAGACGACGATGATCGCGGTTTCGTGCAATAACTATTTGTAACGTCGCGAGGGGAATGATACCCGAACAATTGTCGTCATCCTTCGCGTCTACGTGCGTATAAACGGGATAATCCACTGGATCTGTTGAAATGGACTTGTTTGAAAATAAACCTTTCGATGTTATCACATCGCGGCAAGAAGATTTGAAGGAGTTTCTCGCCTGTGCATTGAGGTCGCGTCATATGGCAATATCCAAACGATATTTTATGCCGATAGCGAGCGATATCGTATCGGTCTTTTTCCCTTTACTTTTTTTTTTTTTTTCGGGGTAACGCTGAGTTTTATGGGTAGCAAATTTGATTCGGTCGACGCCTCGAGTTTTTCGCCTCGATGAAATACCAACCGATGAAAGCGGTAATTAAATTTAACGTAACAACGTTAAAGTCTGAGCCGACTGAAACGCATCGCGAGTACTAACTGCGCGAGAATTGCGTAACGCGGTAACGCTTTTAAAAATGAGATTAATCTTTTCGAGGATCGAATATCGTCCAATACTGATACTCCAATTTCTGTCGAACGGATGGCCTCTTGAAAAATAAACGAAACTCGATTGCGATATGCTTCTGGGAGATGGGACGGATCAGGGATTGAAGGGAATTAGGGCGAAAAGAGGACGCCCATCCCTGTACTTGCTGAAGTACGACGTGAAGATAACGTCCCTTTCCTAAGCCCTGGACCTTCCTCTGATCTCAGCAGCCCTCGTCTTCGACATCCAGTTTCGAACTCCCGTCCCTCGTGCTTGCTCGAACGATATGACACAAGAAAGTCGGAATAAGCGGACAATTTTAGACTTCCGATCGATATATCACATTTCAAAACTTTATGATGTATTACACAGGAATATCGCAAATATACGTCACGCTTGATATAAAGGAAAAATTACATAGCGTATATTATTCAATTTAGGCAAATCAATTTTCGTGGAAGAGAGCGACCGTACGTGTCGCGCGAGGTATATTAGATAAAGCGACGTAAAGGAAAGATAATCACGTACAACTGTTCTAAAACGCTAAGTAATTGGAGTACAAAAAAAAATGACAAAGCGGTTCTTCCTGCTTTGTTCCCGCCAGCTCATTAAGTGGCGTTGCTTGACGGCATTATACTCCTTGCCTCTCTGGCCCTTCCTGTCTAGAACACCTGGCGTCCATTGTAGCGATGATAATGTCGCCATGTCAACCTCATGCCGCTACATTAATCAGGCCTTTGAATCTCGAAAACTCGAATATTTAACCAGGATCGAAAGACCACTGTTAATGCACGCACGCGACATATAATCGCAATTCACATAATCGTATACAGACAAATGTAATAAATTAATTCGATCGGTAAACTCGATAATACCATTTCCCTTTTATCGCATTAATTTATAGGATTCAAGCGGACAATTATTTGCGATCGTCGCGCATTTCCCCAAGAAATTTCTCGGCGCAAAAATGGTCGAAATTTTTGAAGGACCGATATCGAGTAAACATATAAATATACGAGACCTCCCTTGTCGGATCCTGTAGATCCTCGGGAGTCTCGTATACAGCGGATGTAAGAATTTGCCCGAGCTTCCAGAGCGTTCGTTTTTCGTGCTTCCCTTTCCACGGATCTCTCGAAAACGATGCGCACTTGAGATTTTTCTTTGGCGTTTTTCGCATCGGCAGAACGCAAGCTCGCGCGAAATAAAAAACTCGAATTTCACGAAATTTCACATATATTCAGCTACCGCGTATACGAATCAATATGTCACGGAGATAATTCTGTTTTTTAACTATTTTGTATATATATGTCAAAAATATACAGTTTTATACAATACATAATTTGTAAAGAATGTTTAAAGTTTATTTTTTTTGAGAAATGTAAAAAATACATTTCTATATGTAGTTTCTATACGTATGACATCGTTATTGAATGAAATGGAAAAGATGTGAAATGGATTAGCTCGAAAATGTCAAGTACTACACATTGTATTGATGTAGACAAATTTTGTATTTCGACACAAAATACAATTGCTATAGATAATCTGTCGGCTATTTAGATCGTAAAAAAGATATCGATATCGAGGAAAGATCTAGATTCTTATATCTCAGCATTTACGTAACAACATAATGTACAATATCTATTCTGACGATTTTTTCCCGTCAGTTGGAAGTTCTATATTTAATGTCCTCCTTTTGCCTCCGCAATAGAAATAATGTTTCAGCAGCAACAAACGATAGATAGGCCGCCGCTGGTCAAATCGGTGGCCCTTCGTTTGTGGTGAGCGAATCGAGTTTCGTGGGCTTCTCCCCCGCACTCATTTCACCCTGAATCCTTCTTCGTCCAATTCAAGTCGCCCCTCGTGCCCCTTGTGCTTCACCATCGCGGGGTCTTCGAGCCGATCGATAGCGCCCACGAGACTTTCCACTCATATATTTGATTGCTCAGCAAACATGCCTAAGTTTATCCCGCAGTCATCGTCATCGCCGAGTGACTACTACGACTACTAGGGACGATGCCACGACTACTACCTACTCGCGTGTTCTCGTATCTTCGAGATACGCCGCTCGAATGTCGTCGCGAGTTTGTTCGCTCCGGACGTCGCGCTTAAAGTAATTCGATCTTATTAAGGCCGCGATGTAATTCCAGCTATGAAACGTTACGAAGTTCCCAAAGTATTCGGTCTCAATGATGGAACGGCGCAAAGAGCGATCGACACGCGAACTAGAAACCCCTTTGCTGACAAAACATTCTACTTTCCCGTTTTCGACGTACAAACGTCGTCCGCTCTATAATTCAAGCCGCTCTTGGCAGCAATAAAATATTTATTACGCTCGTCGTCGACAATGTCGAGCGAACGGAGAGGAGATAAACTTCTATTCATTCCCCTCCATTCTTTGTAATCGCTTATTCAATTATTCTTTAACATTGTAACTGTGTCGCGCCATTAGCTTTTACTACTATAAACGGTTCGTACGGGTACGGGTGTGTTAACTCATTTGACGAGCTGCCGCTCGATAGCGAGTCAAGGCGAGGTGTATAGCGCGTTTAGCGATCGATCTTCTTATACTCGTTTCCGCGAGTAAAACTTGGCGGAAGTTGCACGCTTCATTAATCAACAGTTGATAATTAAATCAAGCCGCGAACTAAGTTCGAAAAAATGCCGCGCGCTCCTCTCGGCTTTGAGTTCGCCTCGGTGTTAGAGGGGCCTCATTAGAGAGTAATTATTTCGCTACGTTACGCGAAGGCGCCATACACCGCCGAGATCGATAGATCTTTTATCCGAACATCCGCGCATAGTCGACATTCCGAAAGAAGTGTCAGTACGAAAATAGAATCGTCGCGTGATCGATGGGCAACGAACATCTGTTACTGTGGCTGATGAAAGGGAGCGATTTGAATATAGACCCATCGGTATACGCGCATCGCGTGTCAACGTTTACGACATGGTTGTAAAAGCCGCTAACGAACATCTGTTTTATTCTTTTTCGCAACTATTCAGAATGAATAACGCACATGGGAATTGCCGGGCTGCTTGCTATCGAACGTACACACAACAGTCCAATACGATAATGTTTAAGTACTTAACAAATATTTTAGGTATTTTAACGTAATATACAAGCCAACAATCACATCAGCTTTCACGTCGACTAACATAATCATTTACCAATTAACATTGATATGATATTCTGTATAACACCGGAAGTTATACGATTAATACGCGCAAACAAATCAAGCGCGAATGCAGATCGTTAATAATTGATGTAACAATTATTTATAATAATCATGTCAAATATGCATCGATACACAATCGAGTTTGCATATGATAATGTCTGGTAATGCGAATGTGAATTTTCAGTTCACTCTCAAGTTAATTTCTTCTGGAAATTCAGGGAGTACAATAGTCTCAGAAGTCGTGTGTATGTACTCTCATTTATGATTAAAAACGGAATAACTTTTATCGCGCAAATACAAAGGGAACACGCGGAAGAGAGACATCCGGCCAAACCGATTAGATCCGTGTCACGGGATGTGAAAATGTATAGTCCTGCTGAGAGAGAGAGAGAGAGAGAGAGAGAGAGAGAGAGAGAGAGAGAGAGAGACACGCGGCGAATGGGTGGAGTTCCGACTATTTCGCTAATGGCACGGAGTACTGAAAGAAGAGACTCGCTAAAAAAAATTATTATCGACTTTGCGAAATGTCCGGTTAGGGTGCGACCACTCGGAATAGGTCAGGTGGGATTTGATATCGAGCGCGAGCTCGTAGCGTGAAGCTCTCACGTACGTTACTTCGTGACACATTC